TATAGCGCCCATGTTGCCGTGACGTACATTCGTATTCTGATGCATTAAACCGAAAAACATCTGATTGGCCAGAACAGTCACATGTCCGATTCAGTTTAATTTTTCAATGAAATTCGTAAAGGATCAGAAATTCAGAAATGGAAATTCGGATGTGTTTGAATTCTGGTAATTGCGCATGTCTGATGACTGGTCTTTCTGGTCTTCATCAGAGAACAAGGAACCAACGGCAGTTTGAAGCTGGTGGAAAGTGTCTGGTTTGCGGCTGGCATACTTTATTATTATGAGGGAGGAGACCTAAAACACATTTGGGAAATATCCCCCCTAGAATATCGTAGCTAGCTATCCAGGTTACAATCTGATTGAACACATTTTAGGTAGGCCCTCACTTTACATAGTTTTGAGAAGCCTAAAAGAGATTATATGGAGTTTGTAAAATCAGATTGTAAGGTGCATAGTCAGCAGGGAGCCCCCCAAAATGTGTTTTATAGGTAATCTGTAGCAGTGGCATTTCCAGGGTATGGCACATTCCTTGAGTGCCATTTTAAAGGGGGCGCCACTTTGTGGGTTCGCCAACCCATGGAGACAGCTGACTTTTTTTTCTCTCCCAATTTTTGATCAATAAAATCTATTTTTTGTCATATTTTAATAATCTATATTTCATGTGTGTACACGCTATAATCATATTCTGTGTTTTAGACTACCGTTAATATAGTCGATGGCAAGCTTGACGTGAAACTGAAGGGAGTCCACTCTGTTACTGAACTGTCTGGCGATGTTCTAACCAATGTAAGGTTTGTCTTATAGCTGAAAGGTGAACTCCAGGCAGATATAGATGACACAAATGAATTTAGCTCTGTAACCATCAATACATCACTAAATGCAAGAACCTGACTATGACACGGTATCAGCTTCTTGCAGTCCCTGCACAGTGGAGCTCAGCAAAGGACAGATAGGTACACATTTTTTAGAGGACAGATAGGTACACATATATGATATAACTATATAGCCCTAACGCACACATATTGTTTGAAAAATAGCACAGCTAAAAACAAATCCATTCAAATAAATTCATTTATTTGCCCTTTATTTGGAAACACCAAATTTTTTCTGTACTTCTCGGCCAAAAACTGTAAGCTAACGTTTTAATTTTTTTCTCTGAATAGTGGTCACCAGGTTAGACAGATTGCATACAATGTCACTGTCACTAAGTGTCAAAAAAGTGACAGCGACATACTTTAAACATCGCTGTCATGAGGTGGTTAAAGTGTGGTTCACACTGCACTCCTCTCACTGTCAGACAGCGGATCACTGAAAGCGATCGGGTGTCTGGAAAAGCTTACATCTTTCATTAATGGATGCTTCAATAGTGAGGCATCTATTAATGAACGGTAACTGCTGATCTTAGTGGCTACCGGCATACGGGAGACCCGAATAGTTGCACTCGTACAGTGTACATCCGCAGTCATTTGGGCACTTAGAGTGTACGTCTCCCGTCACTGGGGGGTTAAGTACTATGTATCAGTGTATTTATACCTGGATATTTGAGTCTAATTTGCACCACTTGGTTGAAATCGCTTACATCATGATTGCTGGCTCCCAGCAGTGCAGGGTGGGATGGGGTGTGTGTGTCCAGGTGATGAGTTAATGCGTGTCTACAGCTGAAACGGGTTTTGACTAAAAAAAAATAATATCTGCCTAAAGTTGATAAGAAGTTATTGTATGTGACATCAGACTGAGCTCAGAGTATACAGTATGTTGTTACATCATATTGTTCACTAATAATGTGCAAACTCTTTTCTTCCAGGTCATGACTCTGAAAGACATTGTCTACACCAGAATCAGCAAGAGAGTCTCCTAGGAAAGCAAACTTGTCTTATTTTTACTGTGTAAAATAAAGGTTTATAAAGGAAGAGAAACTGTCTACTTTGGCCTGAATGTACATGATGTAATGTGAGGTGGTTTAGATGCATGCCGTTCTTGCACATTCGCAGCAACGTGCTACAAACAAAGGAAGCTCCGAGAAAAGATGGTCAGTAACAAAGAAATGCTAGGCTTTGGGCACCCAAAACTTAAAAAAACTCTATCAACATAAAAGAACAATAAAATGATACCCCCAAACAAGCACCCCTAAAAACATAAGTCCGCTTTTTTTTTTTGAAGGGCAGCCTTGCAGCAAAACAAACAAACAAAACAGTTTAAAGAAGATATGTTTTTTATTTTTTCTATTTGACCCTTGCAGTGGGGCTAACCTTGCACTGCAAGCGTTAAGTGCTTGTTTGTGTTTTGGCCGGCTCAGCTGGCCGGCTGAGCCGGCCAGCTGTCACGGCACTCCCTCCACCCTGCAACATTGTATTCTTCCTCAGCGTCCTCACGTCTATACACTCTGTAAAGAACGTGATGATTTACGAGACCTTACGTCGCTGCAGAGGAGGGACATTTTAAGGACCGGTCTAAAAAGAAGACGGCTCTGAGCTCTGGGTGAGTATATCTTTGTTTTAACCCTTGACATACTGGGTAGTCCCACTGTAAGGGTTAATAAAATAAATTCCTGGAGTTCTGCTTTAAACCAAAATAAAAGGTTTGCTATGGAAGGGATAGCAGCTGGCTACTGACCTTAAATTAACTACACAATAAAATTCAAGACAAAAAAAGCCCTCAATAATGAGAATAGAAACAAAGGCAACATGAGGGTTGACTGCCAAAAGAGCTATGACTGCCCTGTACCGTACCCTACCCCCCACCACCCTTACATTTCATAGAGAGGGGGCTGCTTATCTAAAAGCCTAATTTATAGCCCATCAAAGCTTGTTGGCCATAGTTTAAAAGCCATGCAGTGCAGTGAATCTGAACATAAATATGCCAGGACTACAAATCTCACACCTATCATAGTGATCAGACCTCATCCCTATTCCCATCTATTCTGATTCCAGTTGTTGAAATAATGATTTATCATTCCTGAGACCTCTATGTCTGGCCTGTATATGGCAGGTACAAACACAGCGGACAACACTTATCAGATAGCTACACTCACCAAATACCTTTCATTCGCACAGATCTTTATTGAATGCAGCAGGTTACTGGCAGACAATAGGATGTTGTAGATAGTTTAAATGTATTTGAAGGTCAAAAAAGGATAGTACCATCCTCTCCTCATGTGCACATGTGGCCAGAAAATGGCTGACTCCAACACACAGGAAGAAGGAAGAGTTTCATTATACAAGGGTCAGTAAACACAGAAAAAGGGTGTAATAAACCTAATGACCACTAGGTGTCAGCATACCAAACATTAACTATACCAATACACAATGAACATCGATGCAAGTGCATTGCCATATAACTGCCCACCACCAATACCACCAGCACCATCGTTGGCTCATAGAAGAAGAAGTTACATAGCACAGAGTCATTAGATATGAGACATATTAGCTACGCATGTGGGAAGATTGCACAATTTGGCATGTATTAAATAAAAAATAAATTTGGCATGTATTAAAGATAAAGGGAAGCAGAGGGCACTTTTATACTACATCATATAACAGACTACTGTACAGCTAAAGGCATAGTCCATCCTTTGCAAGAATTTAATATTTTCACCCACATTAATAATAAAAATCTGCATGCATTAAATGTTGTATTGAAGCCTGCAAAGCATTGCAACTCTGGGCTCCTGCATTGTACGGAGGTATAGACCTTTGGTTATGGGGCTGGAGGAGGTAATCAATGGACTACAATTGTAGTGACATCACCACACTTGTCCCTTGTAGACTTGAAGTCTTTCCATTTACAGATGCGTGACAATAAATCTGTATATGTGGGGGCAATGCTCAGGCTCCCACATTGTTTACCCCGAGCCCCATGTCCATATGGAAATAGATAGCAATCAATAGACTTCAAGTGCATTGCAGTGACATAACCACACTTGTGCTCAATTGAGGTCTATGAGTTCCTCTGCCATGGTGGAAGATTGGTCTTGTAGTCTTACCATTTACAAATCCCTTGGAATAAATCCGTAAATGCGGCGGCAATGCACAGGCTCCCACATTGTTTACCCCCAGGCCCATATAGAAGTAGAGACCTTCAGTTATGGGTCTATAGATAGTAATCAATAGACTATAAGTGCAATAACATCACTACACTTGAGGTCTATGAGTTTCTCTGCCATGGTGGCAGATTGGATTTGTAGTCTTTCCATTTACATATCCCTTGGAATAAATCTGTAGAGGTGGAGACAATGCACAGACGCCCGCAATTGTTTACCACCAGCCCCAGGACATATGGAAGTGTGGACCTTCAGTTATGGGTCTGTAGATAGCAATCAATGGACTACAAGTACAATGATATCACTGCACTTGTGCTCCATTGGGATCAATGAGTTCCCCTGCCATTGTGGCAGATTGGATTTGTAGTCTTTCCATTTACAGATCCCTTGGAACAAATCTGTAAATGTGGATGACCCGGGCAGAGCCACACACAGCCTCTAAACTAACATAGAACCCTGCAAATCAGAAAAGTGTGTGTGTGTGTGTGTGTGTGTGTGTGTGTAGGGGGTTTGAGGGTAAGGTTGGGAAATGTGACCGTGTTTCATGTTATAGTTACCCCAAATGTGCGTGTAACATGAAACATGGTCTTGGGGCCGGTTCACACCACAAACTCTGCGTTCCAGTGCGTTCGTCCTCTGAAACGCACGCCGGCCGGCTCCCTGCGTTCAGGGCTGGCTATGGGACGTGGCGGTGCATTGAAGTCAAAGGCACCTCAGCCACGCCCCCCACCCACTGTGCAATCGCCCGCACCCGGAGCGCAGGCACATTAGTGCTTGCATTGCGGTCCAGTGCAATCTGCAAAAATAGTGCTTCCAGAGGGCAACAGTAACTGGAACGCAGATTTTATGGTGTGAACCGGTCCTTAAAGGAGAACTATGAGATAGGGTAACGGGAGGACGCTAGTTTGTGTCCTCCCGTTACCCTAAGGAGAACTATGGAAAAAACCCTGACCCCATTAAAGGTGGCTTAGGTCTCGTAGACGTAGGTAGCAGGGCACTGGTAGGCAGTAATGGATAATCCATCGTTCAAGAAGCATTCTGCACAATGAAGAGTGGTGAAATCATACCGACCTTCTTCCAAAGAAACAACATAAAGAGAAATGTAGATACATGTATTCTTTAACAGACATATACAGGAAGAATAACACCAGGCTGGAGAACCTTCTACAACAAATATTTTTACATACAGGAAAGTCTGAATACAATAAGTGGCAAGTTCTCCTCAGTTACAAGTTCTTCAACCTTGGCCATCCACATAAAATACAACATAAACATTCCACCAAGGTTATTATCCCTCTTAAAATGTTATTCAATCTTTAAAATGACACTTGCCCTGTTGGTTATGAACCTCACTAGTTTAATAGAGTGCTAAAGTCCCAGCATAGAGTTATAACATCAGCATTGTAACAGGAATACATACTAAAATAATTTCTGATAATACAATCACGGCTTACTTGGAAAAATCCCCTTTATGTAGTGAGTGCTGCCTTCCATCTGCCCATCACTTCCATCAACTTCCTGGATTCCCAGTGTGCTTTGCGCCTCTCTCCATGCTGCTTGATGTGTTACAATCTCCATTTCTCAAGGTATCCCATCATGCATTGCTCCCAGCAGGCAATTATATTGTTACATTGTTCAGATATTGAGTTGTAGTTCAGATGGCAGGCTTAGTTGGAGTGGTGACACAAGGAAGTGTATATTCCCAGGGCTGAGTGAAATTGTGTCAGTGCAATGAGGAAGTCCATCTTATGGGCATCTTCAATAAGTAAGTTTACAATCTTCTAGATGGATCTGGTTATTAGAAATGGGATACAACTTATGGAAATTCAAAATAGAAATACAGATTTGTTTTTAGTTTTTGACCACGGCTACCCGTTAATTAATGTATGTGTCTATGTGAGATAAGGACCTTAGATTGTAAGTTTGTACAGTGCTGCATACATTGACAGTACTATATAAATACCTGTAATAAATCAATCAAATATATAACCAGGGCAATGGCACAATGTTCATCATAAATAACACCTATAACAAAGCTTTTTACTAGGGATGCACCAGTTTTTCGGTATCGAGTTTGAGTACCAATATTTTTTCCCGGTACTCACCGATACCAAGTACCGATACCGGTGGCAAGTGCCCCGCTTATCAGGAGGTCGGGCGGCGGATCATGACCCGTCGAAAGAACAGCGGCTTCACTTTCCGAGGCTGCATGGCTTCCTGATCAATCAGGGTCATGAGGTGCCGTCCGGCTTTCTGCCAGGCTGCTTAGCAACAAGTGAAGCCAGCTTCCTAGCCAATAAGGAAGCTGGGCAGCACGTCATGACCCGCCTCCCAGCTTCCTGATTGGCTAGGAAGCCAGCTTCACTTGTTGCTAGACACCCTGGCTTCCTGAGCAATCAGGAAGTCAGGAGGCGGTTCATTACATCTCGACCGGCTTCCGGATTGGAAAGGAAGCCAGCCCCATGCTCCCTCGGCACTGCGGGTCAGAGTACTTGAGCATTTGGGCGGGTATGAGTACTCGCCCAAATACTCTGTATCGGCACCGAGACTAGTATCGGTATCGGTGCATCCCTACTTCTTACGTATTTCTGGATTTTAAAATGTTTCATTGCCCCAACTGTGCAATGTATGATTTACAAGAGCCTGGCCAACAGCCTTGGGCCATGCTTCTAGATTCACTGCAGAAGATCTGACATTGTTAATAGAGTATCTAAGGGAGCAATTACAGATGGCCTAGCATGTTGATGACATTAAAAAAAATAACCATCTATAATAAAATACTCCATTTCGTCAACCTTGCCTATACACAACATCTGGAA